TGGTACAATAATTTCAGAAGGCAATCTGACAATATCTGTTAAAGTTTTAAATGCCCATTAATCAATCAATCCCAATTCTAGAAATTTATCATATCAATACCTGCATATATTGTATTCTCCAAATGTTTTCTAGTTTGGCTCTATGGCTTCTGGGTCAAAGTTGAGTGGCAATAAAAAAGCAGGCATTAATGCCTACTTCTGTCAGGGGGCTCTTCTCTTTACCCTCAATGTAAGCTATCTGTAAAGTACTATTATTGGAAGAGTGGTTTTACAGTAATAGAAGAAACATTAACTGCTGGTCAATAAAAAGAGAAGGGCCCTACACTTCACTTCTATGAGCCCCCTTTTTTTTAGCTCCCACAGGAATGAGAAACACAAAGAAATGATAAATGTTTAAGGTGATAGATATGCTAATTACCCTCATTTGATCATTACACATTGTACACACATATCAAAATATCACTCTGTATCCCATAAATAGGTACAATTACTACATATCAATTAAAAATAAAAGGAAAGGTTGGGTGCGGTGGCTCATGCCTGTAATCCCAGCACTTTGGGAGGCCATGGTCAGGAGATTGAGACCATCCTGGCTAACACGGTGAAACTCTACTAAATATATAAAAAATTAGCCAGGCATGGTGGCGGGCGCCTGTAGTCCCAGCTACTCGGGAGGCTGAGGCAGGAGAATTGAACCCGGGAGGCAGAGCTTGCAGTGAGCAGAGATCTCAATACTGCACTCCAGCCTGGGCGACAGAGCGAGACTCCATCTCAAAAAATAAATAAATGGAAAAAAAGGAGGGCCCTACAGATAGAAACTAAAGCCTGTTACCTTAAATTTAATCATGTCTCCTGGTTTGGAGACCATAGTCTAGAACATTAGTTTTCCAATGACAATACTATATTGCCCAGGATGTTAAACTCATCCTCTGGCTATAACTAAGAGATCCATGATAGATATATTATATTTGACCAAATTAAGTGAAGAAATTTTACTTAGGAAGAGTTAACTGAAGAAAAAAAAGGAAATCAGTTTTTGATTTTTTTTTTTTTTTTTAAGTAAAAGGCTATTAAGTCCAGGTATGGTTGATTTAAAATCAAAGACATTGTGTCATCCTCCTTGCTTTCTCTTGGATCCTTTGCTCTGGAGGAAGCCTGCTGCCCCATCATAAGGATACTTAGGTAACCTATGGAGAAATTCCTTTGGCAAGGAATTGAGGCATCCTGCCAGTCCCTGCTGACATCTTCACAACTACAAGAGAGACTCTGAGCCATAAACATCTAGTAGACCACTCCTGAACTCCTCTCAAAAACAGTAACATGATAAATACTTTTTCCTTTAAGCTGCTAAGTTTTGGGGATAATTAATTACCCTTCAATAGCTATCCAATGCAAAGAGGGAAAAGCAATTGGAGATTAACAAAGAAGGTGCTTCACTGAATGTTCCCCTCATCCTATACTCAGGCAATGGCTTCATTAAGCCCCATTAGCAAAGACTGTCTCATAAGAGCTTCACTACACCAAGAAATGTCATTACTATAGTTAGGGGTTAGATATTAGCTTATGGTAAATTTTTTGGTATAGTAGAATAATCTGAGGAAGTTTAAGTTATAAGAATCTTCTGATGCTTTCTAGACAGCATTTGTTTGTCCTATATTTTACTTTAAATTTTCATCTCTCATATCCTTCATCACCAAAAAGATGTGATCTTTCACATTTCACAGACATTCCAAATGAAACCTCATCAATTGAAATGAAAAACTCAAGGCTTTGACAACTCAAAATGCAATCCAGTTTTGGTATACAAATTTTGAACTCCATATTTTCAAAGATAAGCATGATATATTTTATGTTTTTAGGACCAGCGTCTCCTTGCTGCTTTTCTTTCTGATTGCAGACATTCTAATATTATTGCTTATCTCTGGCATCAAAGTGTCCAGTATGAATTCAAATAAGGGATTTTGTTTTAAAGTTTATGTCTTCCTTAGATCACTTTATATTGTTCACTTAAGTTCTCTTTTAGTTTGCAATGAATGTGTATATGTGTTTTCAGTTATATTACATGAAAAAAATATATATGCACAATTCACATATACTCAACAACCTAATTTTTTGCTGATAGGAAATAGGTTCCAAACGTTAATATAAAATCAATTGACTTCTTCCATTACTTTTGAATTTCTTCTCCACTCAGCTGGCATCTTGTACTTTCCGTTCAGTTTACAATAGAACGTATTTCATGTGATACATCAAATATACTTTCGTTTAAAGTAAAGGTTTAAGTAACCTTTAAATAATAGAATAAGCCTTGCAACATTTTCCAAAGCATAATATATCACTTTAAACGGTCATAAGAAAAGGATTATTTCCTGTCCTCCAAATTTGTAATTTTTATCTTTTAATTATATCTATCCTTTGTTAAATATACTAGATTTCCATGTGCTTTAGAAAGCAAAATATTGACACCAGATAAATATTGCTACTATGTGATATCTGTACCTGCAATGTTGACAAAAGGAGCGAATTAACATGGGGAAACAGAATGCAAATACAGAAAGAGTTATACTTCAAATATTACTAGCTAAGTTTTACTACTTGTTCCAGGCATATACACATAAACACAGACTTTTTTTAAGAATTCCTCAATAGACTATGAAATATAGATGATGTAAAGACTGGAACATAAATGGCAATATTACATAGTTCTGCTTTGACCACAATATGTATACTTGTAAAGTTTCCTCTTTTGTCACTTTTATTTAAAAATATGCTGGAGACCCACAAGCACCTCATACTCTGTATGTTCAAATCTAAACTCAACTTGACCTGTCGAATCTGATCTTCCTCTTTTGTTTGTCATGTCAGCGAATAATATTACCATCTACCCAGTTGAACGGCCAGAAACCTGGATTCCATCCTTAATCCCTTCTTCTCCATCACCCTGACACCCAGTCAATCACTAAGCTCTGTTATTTCACACCTGTTAAATATCTTTTGAACTATATTTTCACTCCATCATCACTAACATGCCCTTGCTTTAGAGCAACATCCTCTCACCTGAATGATGGCAACAACCTCCCAAATGGGGTCCCTGCTTTCAGTGGTATGTACCCATTCCTACTATAGCCAGAATAATCTCCTAAAATGCAAATTTGTGTGTATTGCTCTGGTATTGGAGAACCTCAAAATGGTTCCCCACTTCCCTGATAATCAAGTGTGACTTCTCCATGAGGCTGTAAGTTCTTCATGACCTAGGACCTTGCTTCTCTCTCCAGCCTCTTCTATTGCCACTCCCGTCCCACTGCTCTTCTATGTCCCTTGCACTGCAGCAGGAGGTCTTCTCTCTCCCTTCGGGACTTTGCACATGCTGTTGCTTTTGATCCCAGCCCTCTCTGCTTCCCATGTACACCACTCCACAGGCTCACTTTGATCCATCCTGTAGGTTTTAACCCAGATCCTCCTTCCTCCAGACTTCCCTCTCAGCCAAAAGTTGGCTAGGTGGCCCTTATCCATGCTCCCGGGCATTCTATTCCTCCCAACACACAATTTACTGCCCGATTTCTGTCACATACAGGACAAAAAGTCCTACCGACATATCTGAATTGTCCACTGAACTGTAATCTCCAGGATGACCAGAGCTGCTTTTCTGCCTTGTATGTTACTGAATCCCCAGGGTCTGGCATGGTGTCTGGCTCCTCAAAGGTGCTCGTAGATAGTGGTCAAATGACTAAATGATATTAATATGATGTGGAAAGGGACATGGTTACTAATCCTGGGTACTGAGCTAGTTATGGATGGATCAGACATTTACATTTTATAACTTGGACAGTTCTTATTTTCATTTCTTATGTGTCTTCTGTGATCTCAGTATTTAACAGTCTCTTGAACATGCCACCATGTTGAAACAGTGCCTGGAGGAGTCAGGGGAGAGGATTCTGGCCACACTTGGGTCAAAGCTTTAATGTGAGGGGTAGAAGAGGTACAGGGAACACTGGGTAAGAAAACCCCAAAGGAGAAGCCAGGTGCAGTGGCTCATGCCTGTAATCCCAGCACTTTGAGAGGCTGAGGCAGGTGGATCACCTGAGGTCAGGAGTTCAAGACCTGCCTGGCCAACATGGTGAAACCTTGTCTCTACTAAAAATACAAAATTAGCTGGGTGTGGTAGTGCATGCCTGTGATCCCAGCTACTTGAGAGGCTGAGGTAGGAAAATCGCTTGAACCTGGGAGGTGGAGGTTGTAGTAAGCTGAGATTGCGCCACTGCACTCTAGCCTGGGCAACAGAACAGGACTCCGTCTCAAAAAAAAAAAAAAAAAAAAAACCCATGGGGAATAAAATATAGGAGCAACCGGACTATGTGATCCTGCTGCCTTTCTCCACTTGGACTTTCTCCTTCTAGAACTAACCCCTGTTGTGTCTGGGCCAGTGATTCTCAAACTTTAGTGTGTGCAGCACTCACCTGCAGAGCCTGCTAAACATATACCCCTGGTGTTCATGCTGTGAATGGTCTGCTTACTGCAGTTTGAAAAACACTGTAATAGGTACTGATTTAATGAGGTAGATATTTCCTTTAGACTGTGGTAAGTGGTTGATCTTACAGGATCTAATGAGACTGTATTACTAAAGTATTAAGTTTGAATAAGGCTCTGATGCCATGAAAGCAACCGAGGCCCTAGGGGCCCACGACATCACAGTTCCTGTTGATTAAAATTGGGCTGAGAAATGACTCCTTATCCAGAATCCAAACTCCCATAGTTTTCCTGTGTAACATTCTTGATCAAAAGACTCCTTATCAGGGTCATTAGCTTAAAGGGTTCCTAATCCCAGGGTTCTATCCAAAGTACTCTGTTCCCTACTATTCCCAGAGAGATTTTTTTCCTCTTCTTTATCTGAGTGGTCCGTTTCCATTGGGTAATTGGTGTTTGTAGCCCAACTCCAACCCTTGAGAATTCCTGAACTCTCAAAACAGAAACAAAAGAAAGGAGAGAAACCCTTGTCTTACCAGGGTCCAGAAAGGGCTGACATTCTCCAGTAGCACCATAGTTCAGCTCCTGTGGCCCTGCCTGTGGGATCCACGCCTCTGCTACTGGGGCCTCCTGGGCAGGTCCCATTACCTGGAGTGCAGGTGACTCTAGGTGCATGGTTGGTGGTATGTGTGCTGTTCCCACTGGTGCCAGTTCTTCCAAGAGCATGTCATGCATATCAACCTGGGGGAAATGCCAGAACCATCACTCTCAAGTCTAGACCAACAGTGCCCAGTAGAATTGTATGAGAATCATGCATGTAATTTTAAATTTTCTAGTGGCCATATGAATAAATTTTTTAAAGAGTTAAGGCCAATCTTAATAGTACGTATTACTTAATCCAATGCAAACAATCAGGATTTCAACATGTAATCAATATGAACAATTATTAGTGAGATATTTCACCTACTTTTTTCATACCAAGTCTTCTGCATGTGGTGTGTATTTCATACTTACAGCAGATCTCAATTTGCATTGGCCATATTTCAAGGGCTCAAGAGCTGTACATGACTAGTAGTGACTGTATTCAGCAGCAAATGTCTAGACCACATGAAGATAAAATCTTATATAGTAAACAAAACCAAGGAGACAGAGAAAGGAAGGGCAACCACCAACCCAAGTACCCTAGGGAGACAGAAAACTTCAGAAGACTCCTGTTCAGGAGCCCTGAAGCTAACAGCTCCTGCAGAGAACCCCCATAGACAAGATTGGAGTATCCCTGATGCCCATCTGGAAGCTCCTGCTCCCTTTTCCCAAAGATATTGCACTCTCTCAGTCATGGCACTTCTGAAAAGAGGCTTTACATAGTCATTCTGAATGGCAGACAGTGCCATTGTCCCCATGGGGAGTTTTGGATATGCTGACAGGTGGTGGCTATCAGAATTTAATGGAACATAATTTACAATGCAGAATTGTTCCAGGTCCCTACCAAGTGTGGAATGTCCCACTCAAACATCCATGTGAGTAAAAAGAACCTGTCAAGAACCCCACCCTATTGGTCAAATAAGTACAATTGTTTTGTGTTTTTTGCATAGTTTCAGCACAAATGAAATTTTCTAGGAATGCACTAATGTGAAAAGCAAAGACTACACTGCTTATTGTTCAGATTTACCAAGAGTCATATGCCGCTTTGGAAAATCACATGATGAGCAGGAAAACTGTTCATAGTACTTGAGCTTTATCAGTCTGAATTTCTAGCTGTCCCATTCACAATGATTGTAAGCACAGATGCAAGCATCTGACAACTTCATGACTTTCGGTCAGGCCTCAGCATGTATATGTACAAATCTCTATCGATTTGTAACAAACTATGTTTCTTTTCCTTTATATTCCTTCTAGACTTGATTCAGGGTTGGCAAACTTTATAAAGAGCCAAATAGTAAACATTTTAGGCACTGTGGGGCACATTCACTGTCAATTCTTCTCCTTCTTCCTCTTTTTTTCAATGACCTTTCAACAAGATAAAAACCATTACATACAGAGTACAGATAAACAGGCTAGAATTGGCCTTCAGGCCATTGAGCAATTTACTGATGCTTTGGGTTGACGTATGTGGGTAGATTATGCTATCTATCAATTTCATTTGTGCATAGGAAAGTGGACATTACAAACTATTTGTTATAGAAGGGAAAGAGTCTGATAGAGTTAAAAGCACTGACTCATTTGCTGAGTTCAGCAGAAGAGAAAAGGAAAAGGACTCTGGAGAAATCTTGAGGCTGGGGAATGACACAGAGACAAATGTGTGGTCTAGTCCCAGCTGCCGCAGCTACTTCCTTTGGACCAATCACAAAGATCCCACATTCTTTTCTTACCTGCTGCTCTGGTATCTCAAGTTCTCTCTGCAAGTCTTCTATCAGTGACACAACTCTTTCTCTATTCTCTGGGCAGTGCTCCCTCACCCAGGTCTCTATCTCTGTGGGCAGGATAGTTAGGAATTGCTCCAACACTAGCAGCTCCAGGATTTGTTCCTTAGAGCGCATCTTTGGCTTCAGCCATTGACAACAAAGCTCCCAGAGCTTGTTAAATGCTTCATGAGGCCCAGCTGCTTCTCTGTACTGGAACTGCCTGAAGCGCTGACGGAAAACTTCACAGTCAGTATCATACTCTTGAAACACAGAGCCTTGATTCAAGGATGCCTGGATTGCACAACCCAGGGCCACAGCCATCGCCCCCTTCCAGCAGTTTACAGTTTATCTGGAGCCTCACTTCTCAGATTCCAACTCGTTTCTCTCTGAAATCGTTGGGGTGGGAGGGAGCCACCTACAGCTAAGGACAGAAAAAAATGAGAAAGGAGAAACAGGAGTGGTCACAAGAGGGCTTACTTACCTCCGTTAACTTCTTTTTTTTACCAAAGAACCTCCGTTAACTTCTTTTTTACCAAAGACCTAAAGCAGTTCATTATTTTTCTCTTGGTTTTGAGAATCTGATGAGAGCTTCAGACTCACTTCCTAGAAAAATACATATACACGTCCTATTCTGCATCTAGTTTCAAAAGTTTATAAAATCTCAAAGCCTCTAGAATTGTGCTTGCTGTCAAATATGGTAGCCAACAGCCCCATGTGACACTTTAAGTTTAGTCAAAAATTTAGCTTCTCAGTAATATTAGCTAAATTTCAAATGCTTAATAGACTTCACTGCAAAAAGGTCTATTGGACAGCTCTGCTCTAGAATTCCATGGTCTCAGGCTAAGGATCCTGAATTTATTAATAAACGAACCCTTATAGATCTCTTGGCATTTAACCTATTCCCAGTTCAATTCCAATTGTCATGTGTTTCTGAATATATGTAGATCTCAAAAGAAATGGAGAAGGAATACTAACAATACTTCCATAAAACTTTGAAAGTCCATCTAGCTTTAAGTACCCCCTAATGGCCTTCAATCAAAGTGAACTTAGGTAGAGCCATGGTTTGCAAAGGCAGCAAATTGTCCATCTCTCATTCTTGCCCTTACCGAGTCTGCGTAATTCCCCCATTAACCCCATGCCTTTCCTTCCCCACTCCTCTCCACCACAGCATTCCAAGAGGATTTCCTATGTGAAAAATACACTGCAATAGGGAGGCCATTAGGAATTTGCTATGCATTCTTAACGAGGGATATTGAGTTCATGCTATGTGCCAGATACTGTTCTAAGCAGTCCACATATACTAGTCAATTAACCCTCACCCAAGGTTAGGAGCTGGGTACTAGTATTATCCCCTGGACACAGATGAGGGAATTGAGGTTTGAGGCTTAGGGGGATTGAACAACTTGTCTAAGGTCACATGGTAAATGCCAGAGGGAAATGGTGATTATGTCAAAATCTATATTCTCCAGCAATCAAAAGGTCTAAATGTTCTTGGTGTAGTCTTTGAGGTCACAGAGACAGTCATATACATGTTTCTACACGTCTCAAGACCTGTATCTGCCCATGTGCCATGGTTCCTCTCTCTCTGCATGTGCTGAGACAGCTGCTGTAGTTGTTCTCTTCTCTAGAGGGGATTCAAGGGGAAAAAACATACTCATGACTCTCTTCCTACCCAGTCAACCCAAATCAGCACTCTGTCCTTGTATCCCCCTTTACCATGATGGTAGCCTGACTTTAGGAGATCGATTTAGGTATGATAACCTGCTAGCTGTGTGACCCTGACACCCAGTGCCTCTGTTTGTAACAGAAGATAATCATAGCATCTACTTTATAAAATGTTCTGCGTGGATTCAATTGCATGGGAAGCGAATAGCAGCATGCCCAGCACAGAGGAAGCACTCAATTAAAGTTTATTGCTTGTCAGGAGCCATTCCTAGGGGGCCTCTATTTCCCAGAGTCTAGGCACCTAACCGTTGCTGGAGGGCATCCAGGAACTGTGCTGTTTTTGGCTCTGGACCCATCCGTTAATCTGCTCCAGCCTCACAGCTGGCCAGCCCTTCCCTGACTGACCCAAAACCATCCACCACGTCTACCAGGGAATTGACCCTTCGGGTTTCCTTTGATGGACCCTTCCCAGAGAAACGTTCATTTCACTATGGGACCAGTGATTTCTCTCCAAACCCTCTCGTAGAGAATCCACCCTCATGGGGCCTATAAGAAAAGCGATGTGTGTAGAGAGCACTCGAGGAACGGCAAGAGTGACACGTCCCTAAAAAGTCTAAAAGCTGGTTCAAAATCGGATGCTAGTGTCTCGGGCGCGGCCCCTGTTCACTCTTGGGTGACGAGGTCCCGCCACCTGAACGGGAGCTCCCAGCCCAGGACTCCCGGGAAGGCCCGGTCGGGTCGCAGGGAGTGGCGGCGGGGACCCTGGCCGGATAGGGGCCCGCCGCCCACCACTCCTTCCGGCGCCCGCCGTCCGGGGCACAGCTGGAATCACCCAGTTGGCATGGTCCCGGCCAGGGAAAGGAGCCCCGCTACCCGCGCCCGCGCCCCAGGGAACGGCCACGCCCTCTGGCCGCTCGGGGACTCACCGCCTCAGCGCCCACGGTTCTCCCAAGCTCACCGGCAACTGCCCAGAGCGCAGGCGCAGGGCTGCGCTGCGGACTACATCTCCCGACAGGCCACACGCCGCCCGCCGCGCTGTGCGCCCACAGGGATGCTGACGTGGGAGGGGCTGGGACTCTTCCTGGCTTCGACCAGCCTCTAGCTGTTTTGGAAGGGCTCCCGTTTCCTGTTTAAGCGCTTCTTAGTCCCAGGGTGTTGGGTGGGGTGAACCCCGGGTCGTGATCCAAATGAGCGCTTCTGCTCCTTGAGCCTTGGAGTAACTGGAGCGGGTGGGGACCACCTTTAAATCTGTTATGACACGGTCAGTGATTCTTAAACCTGGCTGTGTGGGGAGAATTTGTAGGGAGAGCTTGTTAAAAAGTCGTATTTCGGGGCTCCACCCGCTACCCTGATGCATTGAATCTCACAGGAACCCGGGGATTCGCATTTTAATAAACTATCCTGGAGATTTTGACTCCGGTCGTCCGCCTGCAGTTCACAGTGGCTTTGGATTTGCTTTTTAGTATCCACATCTTCAAGACCTAAGCTTCGATCTCGCGACCCCGCCCATTACCCTCTGCCTTCGATAGCCACAGAAGTCTCTGGGGTCTTAAGGTTTGCCTGCTGGCCCCGCCTCTTGTCTTTCAATTGGTCCCTCGCTGGTCCCGTCCTGGAGCCAAATTTTCTTTTCTGATTGGTCAGCTGCGAGTTGTGGCGAGACCTGATCCAATGGCCGCCTGAAGCAATGGTGTCGTTCGTGAAATGCAGCCCTATCGTTGGTCCTAAGCTGACAAATTGGTCTGTAGACGCCAAACTTCAGTGCTAGGACTTTCTGCGTGTGGACCGGGGGCCTGGTCCTGCGTGGGTCCAAGACAGACAGGAGAAAGCTGCCTGCTTTTGTGCCTCCCGGAGGCCCTGGTGGAAGCGAAACGGGGGCAGGAGCTGCACTGTCCCAAGCCCAGTGAGGCGAAGCTACTGGAGACAGCTCCGCGGGGTCCAAAGTTGGGCTTACCGGCTGGAACTTGAAACCCGGGCATGCCGGACTCCTGCTGAAGCCATCATTCCTCTCTCCTGGCCCTGGGCGCCTTCGCCGGCGGGGACAACTGGTTTCGGGGCCAAGGTGGTCTGGGAGCCTGACGGTGACTTCTGGCCTGGGTTCCCACGAGCGGAAAGGGTTCCCCTCCTGTGAGAGGGAAACTATGGAAGTTCCTACGCCTGGAGCCAGAACTCCTGCTGCTACCGCCCGACTCAAGGTTTAGTCTGGCGGCCTCCCACCTGTGCTTCTGAGGGTTCTGCTTCCAAGAGGCTGCTGGTGCCCGGGACACCCGCAGGCGGCTCTCAGAGTTTCGCCATGGGTGACTTCGGCCTGAGATGCGCTCCATGGAGCAGATTCTGGAGTTGCTGGTGCTGGAACAGTTCCTGACTATCCTGTCCCAGGACATCCACAGCAGGGTGCAGAAGCTGCAACAGGCGAGCTGTGAAGAAGCTGTAACTCTTTTAAAGTATATGTATGACTTTTAAAAGATAGAGCTTGTGAAAGTGAGGGAATAAGTGAGTGAGAAAGAGGTTTTATCTGCCATCTTCCTCAAGGAGGCCCAGCCTCCCCTTTATTCACAGGGTTCTGGGTCTGGTGGGTCCAGAGGACTGAGATATCTCGCTGTCTTAGTTCGCCATTCAGATTTTCTTGATTGCCCTCAGTACACCTTACACGGGCCAGTGATTTTTTTTTTTTTTTTTTTTTTTGCCTTCTCTGGAACATTCATCCTCCAGATTTCCCCCCAGTGCAGTGAAGAGTGACCTATTGCTTTTGGTTTCCACGGGGAGGCAGTGTCGCTGTCATAGTGTCAGCTCTGGAGGTAGATCAAAGGGGGCTTTCAACTCCTGGCTCTGCTCCCTACTAGCTGTGCGACTTTGGGCAAGTGACTCTTGCTTGGCTGGGCTTCACTTTCTGCATTGGTCAAATGCAGAAAGGGTAATAGACCCTTCTGGGGTTGTTTGGAGGATTAAAGGGAGAGCAGTATGTCCGTGGTAATCGCACGGCTGGCACACAGCTAGTGCTTGAAACTGTGAGCTGCTGTTAGGTTAGGGGCAGCAGTCTGGTCTCTGCAGAGATGGGTCTCAGTTAATTGTGAACTTAGACAGTTTGGCACTAAGGCTTTGGGGTCACTGTCCCAGGGGCACCCAAGTAAGCTTGTCTAAATGAGAGGAACAGGAGCATCAGGAGAAGGTGGGGGAGGGACTGAAGACCTATGGGGAATATGTGTGTACTGAAATGGGCTTTCTCCCCACACCCTCCACACAAGCACATACACACATTAACTCAGGGTCATGGCATCATAAAAACCTTGAGTTTAAACCATCCCTTTCTCTTGTTGGGTCCAAAGGGACAGACTGTGGTTTTCTGTTGAAGGTTTACCCTCAGATTCCTGTCATAATTTTTCTTTTCTATTGAGCCCTGTCATGATGATAAGCGATGGCAGGTTGGTTCCTAGATCATACATCATAGACCTAGCACAGAAGTGTTTTCAGAAGAGCCTTTTCCTTACAAAACAGCATGAAAGTCATGGAGCCAGTGGATACTGAGATTTCAAACTGGAGCCAATGGATACTTAGAGGAGCCCTGTGGTGTAGAGTAGTTGCTACTTCTTGTTCACTAGGTCTAATTAGCATGTCATCAATGTAATAGACTAGTGTGTTGTCTTGTAGAAAAGGTGATCACGATTCCTGTGAGCTAAACTATGATGTAGGGCTGGAAAATTGATATACAATATGCCTGAGGTAGGATGGTGAGGGTGTATTCCTGTCTTGCCAGCTGAAAGCAAATTGCTTCTGGTGGTCTTTACTAACAGTTATTGAGGAAAAAAAGTATTTTCAAGGTCAAGAGGTGCATACTAGGTTCCAGGGAATGTGTTAATTTGCTTAAGAAATGAAACCACATCTGGAACAGCACTGCAATTGGAGTCATCACCTGGCTTAGTTTACAATGACCCACTACCGTCTTCCAAGATCCATCTGGCTTCTGCATAGGCCAAACAGGTGAGTTAAATGGGGATGTCTGCATATTCGAAGTCACTGATGGTATTACTGATCTCTTGCAATCTCTCCAGGAGTGTGATATTGCTCTTGGTTTACTATTTTCCTAGGTAAAGATAGTTCTAGTGGCTTCCACTTGGGTTTTCTTACCACATGAGTCCTCACTCCACAGATCAGGGAAATAGTATGAGGATTCTGTCAGTTGCTGAGTATTTTTCTTCCAATTATACATTCTGGAACTGGGGAAATAACCATAGGATAAGTTTAGAGACCCAGAGGACCCATTGTGAGACAGATCTGAACGAAAACTCCATTAATCACCTGACCACCATAAACTATTAACTCTGACAGGTGAACTGCAGTGACATTTTGAGGCTTTTGGCATCACTGCTAGTTCAGAAGCAATATACAGTAATCCCTGAAAAGTTTGATTATTTCATTTTCCCTACTGCACATTGACCCCTAAAGCCATAGATCTCTTTGGGGAAAGCTCCAGAAAATTAGCGGTATATATTTTTGGCAGTGTACTGTAGTGGAGTCCTTCTTTATTCATAGTGTTCTGGGTCTGTAAATTGGCTCAAATCTGAGAATTGATCGAAGGGCTAGGACTATTTTGGTGATTCAGGTTAGACTTCTGTGCATTCAATCTAGAACTCATCCACTTATATATATCAAGTAAGAATTTAGTAGACTGCCCATCTATTTCTCTTCACGGGACACCATGATCAACTAATCAATGCCATATGTCTCTGTGAGTCAGACTATTCTTATTGCTGCATTGGATCTGCTGCCCATTACAGTAACTATGCACACTTTGTCTTTGTCAGTTAAGTGCCCCCACTTGGCCCCTGCCACCCCAAAATCCAGCTATCCTCATTGCATTTAATTATACTGGTTCAGTGGCAGTAGTTTCCACTAGAATTTCTGACCTATAAACAAGAGCAATTACAAAGCTTTTTGGGGTTGCAGGGGCTCCCCTCACAAATCTGTTTCTCACAGTCATGAGACGTATGTTTTTTGGATCCTCCAGCGTGAGTGAGCAGATCTTATGTGATAAATCCACTTTAACATTTCATGGGCTGGGTGCAGTGACTCACGCCTGTACTCCTGGGCAGAACAAGTAGAATCCAGTGACACACCTCCCCCATAAACACATACTTACAGAGTCCCAGGAGACTGTGCCTTCTCTAAGTTTTGTGTTCCTAGCAATATCAAGGTACTTGTTCTTCTGAATTCACTTATAATTTCTGTTCTCTATTAGTCTTTTTAGACCCTTCCTCAAAGATGAAAATTTCAGGGGCACTGGCATCAACATTCTAGCTTATCAGCTGTCACAGGCTTTAAAAATTCAGGAAGGAGGGTCTTTGTGCTCAGAGATTATCATTAAGCATTACTACTTATAATTTTGGGAATTTGGAGTCAAGGAATATATCCAAAATGGGGGAATTGTCTAAAAAAATTAAGATGCATTGATTTGATGAACTATTATATAGAGATTAAAAATGATGCCCATAAAATATGACCAAAAGCTAATCATTGCATTGTGGTGGAGGGTGTACAGGTGTTTACTGAACAATGTTTCCAACTTTTCCATACGTAGGAAAATCCTCATGGAAAAAAGCTTGGGAAAGTCTGGAAAACATAAAACAAGACCTAAATATGACATAATTTCTACATTGAAGCACACATGAGAAGAAAGAATAACGCTTAAGTTTGTTTTCATGTATCATACATAAAGTGAATCACAACTATAAAAGCATTTGCACTAATTCTGAATTTGTCTCCCTTCATTGGGACCATCTCCACATTCTTCCTATCACTGTTTAAGTACTGTGGTGCCCAAAGTTGTGCACAGCTCTTTCAGTGACTGCTATATAGAGAGAAGTTCAGAGTACAATTTCTTAGAGCTAAACTTGTGTTTAAGTATACATTTGCTGAACTTGAGATCTTTCGGAGAGATATAGGTGCTGTTATCTGACCCCTAGGAGGGAGTAGGGGCTCTTCTAGAGCTGAGCAAGGTGGAGTGAGGGAGGGGGCTGGCCACAGGGTTAATATGTACTGTCAGGCAGGCTGTACACTGCACAACTCCAGGATATATTGCATGTGAATGAATCTACTTTAATTGCAGAGTGCACAGTATGTGTAAATGTATGCAGTGACCCTGGAGGGAGGCTTGGGAAAGAAGTGGGGAGTATTGAGACAGGAACCATGAAAGATTGGGAATCCTGGAGCATAATGGCATGCTGCCCCACATCCTACTGGTAGTTCTAGGAGTGAGACCTGCCCTCAGTGCCCCACACCAACAAGAAGTGGCAACAGGAGTTCAAAAATGACAGCCTGGCATTTAGGAAAGAGAGGTCTTGCCACAGTGCTGTCAGATTCCCTATGGGTCATTTGTAGCATGAATGAGTTCCAGCTGCAGGCCCAGAAAGAGACTCCATAGAGGCACTGAGGCACTGGTCAGCAAGACAAGGACCAGGACTTGGAAGAAAATAGTTCAGAGTCTGTAGCTGTCCTAACTGGAGGCCATGATGGAAACCATCAATACCAGCATCTGTGTGCCAAAGGCCAGGAAGAGTCAGTCTTATCTGTCGAAGATAGAAGGGGAAATGGCAAACACTCAAAGACCAAGGGAGATGGGGGAGCAAAAGGGACAGGCCCATCCTCCTTGCTGCAATCATCTGTAGCCAGATAATTTCTTGGGGAGGAAGACGAAGGGAAGAAGAGTGAGAGGCAGAAGAGGAGTTGAAGGAGAAGGAAGTGAGGACTGGGTAGGGAGAGAGGGAGAGAAGGAGGAGGAGGACAAGAAGGAGAAAAGGAGGAGAAGTAGAGGAGGAAGAATAGCAGGAGGGAGGTGAAGAGAAGGGGGCATGAGGAGGGGATGAAGGAAGACGAAAAGGGGAAAGGATAAGGAGGGAGAGTAGGGAAGGGCACATGAGAGGATAGGGCAGCCTTCATAAGGATATTGAACTTTAAATCTACACAACTGAAGTCAAGAACAAAATAAGCAATTAATTGCCCAAAAGTGATTATATTTTAAATCAGAAGGAATTGAGTCACCTTAAGTGGCAAGGTTTGGTTGAGAGTTTATGAGCACATTGAGATGAGTTATAAAGAGAGTCACATTTCTGATCAGCTCAGTTGTTACGTCAAATTACAGATCTACTAGGAAGTATCAACATCTGCAGAGTTTCCAAGTGTTGCCAAAATGCTTACATGTACATTAGGAAATTTCTCTAGACGAACTTCATGAAACAGCAGTTTTACACCACCTTATCAGCTATTATATGGATGAAAGTTCTCCATGCTAAAACAAAATTGAGAAAACCTGAGTTAAAGAAAAGAAATATGTACTTGTAATTGCATGCTTTCTTGGAATCTTTGGTACCGATGGGTACCATCTGCTTCCATCCTCTGACACCCCCTCAGGTGTACAGTGCCCTCAGGCTGCCCCAGCTGTCTAGAGTCCTCTCTACTCCGCATTGCGGTGACAATTCTGAGCCTACCTGTCTTGTGCAGAAACCAGGAGACAGAAGAGAGTGAAGAACAGGAAGGGGAAGGAATGTTCTCTGAGAGAGGAACAGTTCTGTTGAGCACACCTTTCCACAGATGCACCCAACCCCCAACTGGAATAACTGTTGCTTCCTCCTCTGTTCATTGTGTCTCTGATCCCTCCCCGTCCTGCGAGCTCTGGCTCCTGCTGCATCAGTGACCTTCCTCCTCCTTGCATCTCATCCCTCTCTCACATGACAGTAGATCTACCTCTCAGAGCTTCTCAACCCCCAAAATCCTTAAATTGCATCATCTTTCCTCTCTGCTTACCTCGCACACCGAACTGACATAAGACAACACCCTGTCCTTGCTCCCTCTCCTTCCTGACCCCTCCCTGCCTCCTTTGCCCTGAGTCTAGAACTGACGCTCTAGATTCCTACTGGCCTGCTTTCCAATGGCATAAGGGAACGTCTCGGTAGTGAACGCCACTTCCTCTTAGCAGTTCTCCTTTACATCTCACCCCTCAGAAGCATTTGATGAGTGCTTGGAATTCTCTTTGCATTTAGGATTCCAATATTTACCTCCTCTGACACCATTTACCTAATGTACTCCTCCATTCCTGCCACCTACATGTGGGTGTCTTCAAGACTCTGTCCTGAGCAAAATGAAGGTACAATTGAAAGTTTTCACGTGACTCCAGTTTTATAACAGGAAAAATGGGTAGGTATGTAGAGAACTGAGTAGAAGGAAATATATAAAAATGTTTACAAATATTTTAAAAAGTAAAAAAAATGAATAAAAGTAAAAATTTGAGTTGTTCTCTCTGGATGATTGACATTATGGCAGTATAGTTCACCTTTTATTCTCTACTTTGTGCCATTATGAAATTATGAATCTAAAAGTCTCTGCAGTAAGAAACCAGCTTTGTAATCAGAAAGAATGCACTTATTTTCAAATAAAATTAAAAACACAGGTTACAAAAACAAAGTAATAACATTAGTGGAATGACTGTAAGTTGAGAGAGAAAAATTATATACATTGTGTGTGTGTATGTGTGTGTATACAAAGTAAGGACAAGATGAAAGTAAAAAAATATGAAAAGCATTTTGTTTAGATGGCAAGAAAAAAGTTAGTTTTCCTTATCTTCATTTTCAACATACCTTTAATGAATATCTGTTCACCTGCCCCCACATGCAGATAAGTTCCATGTCATTCTAGGTGCTGTAGGGTTAAGGGCACACAGGCTACAGATAACACACACCTAGTTCCAATCATGCCTCTGCCACTTACTAGCTGTGTGTCCTTGGGAAAGAACTTAAAGGACTTCTTTGCAGGTATCTTAGTAGTGGAAGTCCCTAAAAACTTAATGACATTGGCCAATGATTGAATGTAAAGCACAGAAATCACACCATTTTCGTAGATTATGAGTTCAACTCAGAGGACTGAATTTAATTATGAACTATCAGTGTGGAATGCCTGCAGGGAGATATTTTAAGTAATTTCTGTGCATC